AATTTGCAAATTTGTTGAGAAACTGTTTATGTGATCAATTCAAAACATCACAATTTCTTAGTCTTGTTTTTTCACTCAATCTTTGATCATAATCAATGCATTCTGCTTCTGTGAGTTTGTGTTTAAATTCGGAGAATGTGTAATTATGAAATGTAATGATTAAGTGATGTTTTTGTTTTGCAGCAACAGAAACGGAGAGGATTGAAAGGAATGGAGAATTTGGACACAGATTCTGAGTAAAATTCTTTGTTCTCTTTTTGTGGTTTTCGATTTTCTCTTTGGAGGAAACAAAATGAGTGGAGGAGAACGCACGTGCGGCTTGCTTGTGATGCACGTGCGAGAAAGGACGAGCCAGTGGTGGAGCGCGAGCTATCGAGAAGTTTTCCCTTATTTTTATTTCTTTTTTGTATTTTTTTTTTTTGATCAACTATTTCTTTTTTCGTCTATAAATCTTTTTATTTTATTTTTCCTTTGTTTTCTTCTCTTTTTCTTTCGGTTTCGAAAATTCATTTTGTTTAGTTTCGTGTACAAAAAGGTGAAGATGCGCCTTCATAAATCATAATTTCCCTTTATTGGTTATGTCCTAAAAAAAAAACTCTTTTTTGGCTAATACTAATAAATAAATAAAATACCTCCTTTTGTTTGCAACAATAATCAAATCTTATAACAAAAAGAAAAGGAAAAAAAAAAATCAATTTAGTGAAATATTTCTGATTACGTCAAAGATTCTTTACGTTAAAAATAATGACTTTAAGATTCGAACCTCACCTCTTCCTCTGACTCAAATTTGCTTCATTTTCATGGTTTAATTGTTCGGTTTGAATTGAACCAGAATTTTCAATTGTAACCGAAAGATATCTTTAATTTAACCAGAATTTTCATAAAAACCGGACCGAACCGGTCTAAACCATCGTCTCTAACTTAAAAACCCACCATCGCCTGAGAAAATAATCAAAATCTCAATAATAAAACCGATGGAAATCTCAGGACGGCGAGTGAGAAGATTCAGAATGAGATTCCGGCGAGACCGATTCTCCGGCGACGAGAACGACGATAGTTCCATCCTCCCTCACGACGGTGGGAATACAGATACCGATTCCTCCTGTTGTTACTGCGACCTCAAGATCTCGATGTTCAACGAACCCATCTTCCGTTTCGGACGACGATTCTCCGGCGTTATGAAAATCTGGTTCTCAATCGGACTCGGATTCGGCGTCGCTTCTCTTATACTCGTCACCGTCTTCCTTCTCCTTCAATTTCACCATAACCCTCTCTCCAATCGCCTCGCTTCCTCCATATTCGGATTCCGGCGTTTATCACTTTCAGGAATCGTTTATGTATTCGTTTCCACTGTTATTACTGTTTCAGTTCATGAACTTGGTCACGCTCTTGCTGCTGCTAGGTTAGTTACTCGAAAGCTCTCACCTTTGTGATTATGTTCATGTGAAGTGAATTTAGGAGAAAGGGTTTATGGAATTTGGTGATTAGGGTTTAGGTTGTTTTTGAAGCCTTTTACACTCTCAAGATTATCATTAGTTTGCTTAATTCTAGGCTTCTTCTGATTGAGCGGCAGTGAAGGAATACAGATGGAATACATTGCGGTTTTCGTTGCAGCTATATTCCCCGGCGGTCTTGTTGCTTTCGATAACGATGTTTTACAGTCACTTCCAAGCTTTAATGCGCTTCGTATCTACTGTGCTGGTATTTGGCATAATGCAGTGGTTAGTTTAGCTCTTTTTCTCCTCTCTTTTGAATTTTCTTTGTGTTTTTGTATTAAGAGAGACCTTGATTTTAAATTCGTTTATGCAGTTCTGTGCACTCTGCGCGTTCGCTTTGTTTCTGTTGCCTGTGATGTTGTCCCCATTCTACAAACACGGCGAAAGCCTCACGGTACGTTGTGTGTGGTTGTTAACATTAATGATTCCCTGTAAAAAGTATAATACCTTTGCTTCTTCTATAGGTTGTGGATGTGCCTTCTATGTCGCCGTTGTTTGGTTATTTATCTCCTGGAGATGTTATCGTGTCCTTAGATGGCATACGGGTTCATAAACCTAGCGAATGGCTTGAACTGGCAGCGATTTTGGAAAAGCAGAACAGTGAAACATCGAATGCTTCCTTGTATCTTGGAGGTTCGAGGAGGTTTCATCATGGGAAGGGTTACTGTGTCCCTGTGTCTGTGATTGAAGAAGGGTTCAAGGCTAAAATGGTTGAGAACCGATTTGTTTGTCCCGGTGATCTCACTGCGTTTATACCTATGCCATGCTCAAATGCAGTCCTAAGAGAGGATTCCATTTGTTTGGATGCAAAGGATATTGTGAAGCTTAACAAATGCGGCGATGGATGGGTTACAACATCAGACACAGATAATAAAAGCGACTGCGTTTGTTCACAGGTGACTATTGCTATAGAATATCCTCAAAACATTGATTATATTCATATTCATTTGTGTTTTCTTCACGTTTTATGCATTTGATGTTTCAGGGCGAGTTGTGTTTACACGCGGTGCAATCTCCAGGCGTATCATGGACAGAAATCACATATAGGAAAACCTCTTCACAGGATTGCTCAAGACTTGGTGCGGATTTCAATACATCGAATTGTCTTGGGACGTTTGTTTTTGTCGGTGATCTGATCGCCATGTCAGATTCAGTTTATTTAACCGCATACCAACCACGTTGGCTATTTAACTCCTTCGGAAAATCCATCCCGGATATTCTGGAAAAGAGTTTGACCTGCACATTCCATGTCTCTCTTGCACTAGTTCTTCTGAACAGCTTACCGGTACATTCTACATCCAACTCGACACCAAGCTTCATGTAAATTAATATCTTGTTTGCTTGATCTTAATATCATTATTCTTTCTTTCTAGGTGTATTATCTTGATGGAGAATCAATTTTAGAGTCTAGTCTCCAGTATTTCACTTGGTTAAGCCCAAGAAAGAAGAAGAAAGCTCTTCAAGTATGTCTTATTGGAGGAAGTCTCCTCTCTCTCCTCGCCTTGTTCAGAATCTTCCTCATCGGTTTACCTCTAAGCCGATGGTAAAATGCTCGCAATCTTGAATCTCAAAATTTCTCAAACCTTTACGATATGAAACATGGAGTTGATCCAACTGTGCTCATGTCTGCGGGTCACAGAAACTGAAGAGGAATCACAGAACTTTATTTCTGCAAACAGCAAGCCATATACGTTCGGATCATGTTTGATCTCATTGTAGATATAGTTGTATAGAGAATATAAATCAGTTGCATTTTTTTGGATCCACACTCACTTCATTGTGATGATTTGATGGTTCACAATTTTTATGATGAATCTCACTTTGGTCTTTATATCACTTTAATGGTTCATACTTCACACCTCTTTCTCATTTGGAGTGCTTATGTCGGTTTAGCTATAGCGAAATTCTATACTCGAAGAAATGGCTACATGAACCGTATTAGCCTAATCATTTGCTTATTGGGCCAAATTTATGAAATCTATCATTTATTGTTTCTTTAGGCCTTTATTCTCAACTTAAAAGTTGAATTAGTCGAAGTGAAATTTAAGATCCAAGAAGCTAAGGACACACTTTAAAGTTTGAGACATTTAAACTCTTTGACATATAATGAGAAAATAACATATTTGGAGTTTCAGACATTTTAACTCTTTAAAATTTAATGAGAAAACAAATATTTTCGATGCTCATTTGAAGCTCTATATGTCAAGTGTTTTAGAGCATACAATGGTACGTCTGAGTCAGAGTGTTCAAAGTTGATTAAGATAATAATATTGTTTTCTAGTAATATTCATTTTTTTAATTTCTTTTTTTTTGTAATTTTGTACATAATTTTTTATCTATACTGTTAGAATTCGTTTTTTTTTAATCAAGTGGTAATAGATTAGTGATTTTTCTTTTTGTAAAGTAATTGTCATGTAGATCTTGATTATTGATCAATTTTTTTCCATTGTCGAATTATATAATATTCCATTTGGTCATTCGAAATGGTGTTATAATAACCTATTAAAAATCCAGTGGTTCATTCGATAGCTACATTTATTGTAGAAGATTAGATGGGTGGTAAAAAAAATTTGGGTCACTTTAGTTATAAGAAAATAAAAAGAATTCATATTTTTTTTTATCTCTTTAAATCTGTTTATGTCGGCATGGCTTGCTAATACAGGCAGATAATTATAATTGAAGGGTGAAACAAAAGAAAAGTTGACCTGCTTTTTAATTGTGATATTTGATTTGGATATCATTAGATCATATTCTGTAGCAGATTATCAATTAGATATGTTAACGTTCGTTGGAGATTTAATGATGGTAAAAACCCACGGGTGAAAGATATTTTAATAATTCTTTTTTATTGTGCTTTTAGTTTTCTATTAACAAAGTTTTTTTTTGTTTTTGGAAACATGCATGACTATGATTAGAATATATAATCCGAATTTATGAAACACCAACTACAACCTTAAAGGTGGACCAAAGGGCTTCAAAGAGCATATATTGATAAGAGTCTCAGTCTACGGTCAATTATTTTTCTTATTATTAGTCCTATTTTTTATGTATTTTCTCCTTCATTA